GGTCAGACGTATTGTACATTACATATGACTGATATTTACTAAACATCTAAAATATAACTTTACTTTGTCGTTGACATAAAACAATAGTCTAATTTTATTTAATAATCTATCCCCTGTAACTAAGGTACACGATTGCCTGTGTCTCCTTCAGGCAATTAAAACTCATTTAAGGAGATAGGGACGATATTTGGGCAGACGTCGGGTAGCTTCCGATTCTTGGTTTTGACCAAGATCCTCAACTATTAAACAATACGTATGAAGAATCATTTGATATTTTGTTATTAAATAATTATCTGATTTCTCCACATAATTCCATAATGTAAATTCTTTCAATTTTTCCAAACTCCCACCAGACAAAGGAATATTATCTATTTCGTTGACAGAAGTGCAATTTCTTATTTCAATGATTATTGCAATGATTAATAGGACAAGAATTTTCATTATCATTTTTAATTTAATTAAACATTGACTAAATTTAGTTATCAAATACTAACCGCAAAAGTTACTAATTTTCAATTTTAACTACTGTAGTAATTACAATTATTAAATATTTATACCATATGAAATTTATTCAGTATTCGATTTGCTTAAATTTTGTAGCATTAAAATAAAAAAAATGTGTATAAAATAAATCACAATGATTTGTAGTTCTTTAATTTAAAAAAAAAATTTTTTTGATAAAATTAATTTAAAATTATACTTTAACAAATTTTTTTGGATTAAACATTTCTATCACTATAATTCTATAATAAAAATCAAAAAATACAAAGTTTTGATAAAATTAAGCAAAAAAAAAATAACTACTGAAATATTTTCATAAATATACATTTACAAGATTATTTTTAGTTTCGATGCGAAGCTGAAAAAGTATTAAATTAACTATGATGTGTTTTTTTTTTTGTGTCTGTTACCACTTTTTCTCAGCTCTCATCGAACGGATTTCTTTCAACGATACGTCAAAATATCCCAAATCGTATCTAGTCGAAGACGTTACCTTCAAAAATTGAAAAAATTCCCTCGTTCCTCGAAAACGAGGGAAATCTCCCAAAAAATTACAAATTTAAAAATCGCTAATTTTCGACATTTTTTCAATTTTTTTTACCTAAAATTGCCATCACTTTTTTAAAAATGACCGGATCAATATAGATTTTTTTTTATAGATACCTAAGATATTTACCTATTATTTTATATACTTTTGTGAACATTTGACCCTTTACCAGCCCACAGGAAAGGTTTCAAAATGGTAACTTTTTTACAAAAAATTAACTTTTGAAAATGTTCCGGAAAAACTGACACTTTTATATTACCTTAAATTAAAGCTTATATATTATAATTTGAAAAAAAAATTGACTTCTGGACTTCATGGTAAAACTGACTACCGTATGCAAAAATATGCTATTTTTTTTGAAAAAATTCTTGATATTATATTTTTAATTTTTTAACATTATGTTGCTATAACTTTTTAAAAAATACATGAATCAATTCTATTCTTTAATGATAAATAATTTATATATACTTCTCTCCATTCGACATACTTTTTTTTAAAATCGGACCACACCTCTTTATACAAGGGATGCAAACCTTTAAAAATGCGTTTAGAAAGTAGAACTTTTTCAACTTAACTTTTGATAATGTTCCGGAAATACTGACACTTTTATATATACTTTAAATTAAAGCTTATGTAATTTTCTTTACTTTGAAAAAAAAAAATTTAACCTCTGGATTTGTCTTCATAGTAAAAACGGACATCAAAGTTAAAGAAAAACGTACGATTTTCGTGAAAAAATTCTCGATTTTATATTTTTAAATTTATATTGCTATAACCTTTAGAAAAATGTATGGATCAATATTATTATTTTTTTATAAATAATTTTTATATACCCCTTTCATCTGACAAACTTTTTTGTAAATCGGATCATACCCTTTTATACAAGGGGGGTCAAAATTTTAAACATGCGTTTTGAAACTAGAATATTTTGAATTTATTTTTTGAAAGTGTTCTAGAAATACTGACACTTTTATATATATATATATCTTAAATTAAAGCTTATGTAATAAACATTAATTTGAAAAAAAAAAATTATAGCAAAAATTAAAAACATGAAAAAAATAATAATTTTTTGATAATTTTTTTAATAGGGCATGTTGACATACATTAACTTAATTCAAGTTATGCTTGAAATATGTATTATGTATGTCTTTCCTAAACAAGAGGTACATCCTACCACTTTAAGAGATTTTGGTTGAATTAACAATATTATTAATTGGTCTACAAAGTAATTAAAAAAAAAAACTCAGATCAGGGGGGTGCGGCACAGTGGTGACGTGGCATAGTTGGATCAAGTATAATGATATTTGACATTCATTAAAATAATTATCATAAAAAACGCTTCGATANTAAAAAATATTGGCAACTATTTTCATTTATACGCTTCGATACAAATCTTTAAATAGTGTTTAATTTTAAAAAATTTNGCTTCGATACAAATCTTTAGATAGTGTTTAATTTTAAAAAATTTGTGGATTATTCCAAAAGCTACATGATCTGCTATTTTCTTATTAATATCCTGAATGAAAAAGGGATTATTAAAAAATATTATTTCTCATAAAAAAATTGTGTTGATCCATACACTTTTCAATAAGTTATAGCATTATAAAGTTAAAAATGTAAAAAATAAAATCGAGAATTTTCACATGAAAATAGCATTCGATAGTCATTTTCACCACGAAGACAAGTCCAGAGGTCAAATTTTTTTTTTTTCATAATAAAGTATATTACATTATCTTTAATTTAAGATACAGAGTGGCCTACCACTCACTGACTTAAATAACATTTGATCCAGTAAATATTTTTAGCTGATTTTTTTTTAAATAATAGTTATACGTTAGGTCCATAGCTATATCTCAATAATTAATTTTTTTACATTTTATTAAAAATATTATTTATTTTTAAATTTTAAATAAAATGTAAAAAAAAAATCTAAGATAGCTATTTTGTACAGTAGAATTTAAACCCATTCTAACACTACATTCCTCATCCCCCTAACCCTTCTCATTTCCTTGACTCCGCCCCAATGATTCGCCTTATGCGGTTGGCTAATAATGATCCAGATTTCGATTTATTTTAATTAAGCCTCGTTTAAGTTGTTTTAATTTATATTTTGGATCAATGTATATATAAATTTTCTTTTGTTGCTTGTTTCTCACTAATTTTTATTAATGATGTTTATGATGACTGCTATATATATTTTTGGGCTTTACCTGTATAAAATGTTATAAATAAGTTAATAAAATAATTTATTATAAAAACAGTTAATTTGAAACGTTTTAATTTTAACAAGATAGCTAAAATATCCAACATCATAGCTGCGTATAAAATTGTCTGAAAGAGGTAGTGACTTGCGCTGGAGACTTTAACGCTAAGTCTCGGGTATAGGGAAGCTTCGGCAAATCAGCTTGTCAATAATCTGATGTCAGCATTCGGCCTATCGTTGGCTAATAAGGGAACAATCCCAACGTTTAAACTAGTAACTTCAGAAGTAATTGACAATTTAAAATATAACTGAAAGTAAAAAGTTAGTGCTGCTATATTTATCACTAGACATTTTCCGCCCGTACTCTTTGTCCCGCCTAGATATAAAAATGAGAATAACTATATTATCGACCAGTCATTTTCTTAATTAGAGTATTTTCTTTTTTAAAAGCTAGATAAATTTTTATGTTACCATTTAAAAAATTAAAGTTGACACCCCATTAAGTTATAAGAGATGATTTTAACAAGTAATTATTAGCTGATAAATCAAGAAATAAATGTAACTAAAAATAAGGAATATATTTCTTTTTCAATATTGTATTCAATTTGAAAATAATCAAGTGGTTTTTGATAAACCAATCATATTGTATAATTGTCTAAACTATGGTGCATCCACACTGTGCAAAGTTTTTTTTATATATTTTTCAATCAGAAAAATATAGTTTACAGTTTTTTTTCTTTGACGGGATGAATATGAAAATTATAGAATTACTTATTTATATAGAATTTTTTAAACTAAATTTTTTTCCCGTATTTTATTAAAACGTTTAATATTTTGAAATATATGACTACACAAAATTGAATTAATAATAGCAAAAATTAAAAATTTGTAAAAAAGTACTTTTCATCTGATCAGATAAACAATTGTACAAATAAAACTTAGTCATCAATAATTGTATCGCTTTCCTACTTAACAATATTATTTACAATGGTGACATTTGTGTAAATTATGATCCAGAAAGCCATGAAAATAACAATGATTTGTAGTTCTTTAAAAAAATGTATTATATTAAAATTAATTTAAAATTATATTTTATCAATTGTTTATATATGAAACGTTTTAATTTTTTAAATTCTATATTAAAAATCTATCTACGCGAAATTTTGATAAAACTAAGCAAACAAAATAACTTTTCAAAATGTTCAAAACTTTAAATAATATATAAAAAAAGATCACTTGTGAGTAATTAATTAAATTAAATTAAAACTATATTAAAAGTATTATTAATTTGAAAACTAAATAATATTAAACTCAAAAAGCCACAAAAAATTACTGAAAAATCGCGGATACGTATTTCGGAAACAATGTTACCATTATTATCGCTAAACACATACTGACATCCAGACACTGAGACAATATGTCTCATATTATTTCCTGGATTATGTATTTTTGGCATAGCATAATAGAGTTTAGGTATTTGAGGGTTTCAGTTTCAAAATAATTTTTATGAGCAAACTGAGGGCACAGCAATGGGAAATCCGCTATCACCATTTTTAGCAGAACTTTTCATGAGTAGGTTCGAAACAAATTTAAAACACACTTATGGTGATTTACCAAAAATTGGGGTTAGGTATATAGATGATATTTTTGCATTATTTTTGCATATTTTAATATGGAGGTCTTCGTACATTTAAATTCTTTTTACTCATCGTTAAAATTCAAATAAGAACAGAAGTAGAGGGAAAATTTTCTTTTTTAGATTAACTAGTTACAAGAGCAGAGGGGGAACTAAATTTTGAAATTTAACGGAAAAACGCACACAGTTTAAGATACATTTCGAATAAATCGAACCATAGCTGGCAACACAAATTGGAGACTTTTAATAGTATGGTTTACAGATTAATTAATATTCCTATGAATAAAATAGATTTTGATAAAGAACTGAGCGTTATAAGAGAAATAGCTAAATTTAATGGGTATGACGAAAAAATAATTTCAAAATTAGTCCGAACACAAAAGTGGAATAAATAAAGGAAGGCAGCTAGTACACTAATTAATGTGGGGAAACAAAAAGTAATTAGATATCACCCAATTGATATTATCCGGGCATCCAAAATGGACGAGCAAGGATTTTTAAAAATTTTGGTATTAATTTAGAAACATCTAGGAATAATAATTTAAGGGATTTAGTAGGTAATCCTAAATATAAGGTAGAAGAAGGGGGTAAATCAGGCATTTATAAAATACAATGTGAAAGTTGTAATAAATGTTACGTAGGGCAAACAAAAAGAAGTATAGGGGTCAGGATTAAAGAGCACTTAACATTAAAAATCAAGTACTCGAGAAATCTCCAGTGGCTGAAAATTTATTGACATAATCACTTCATTAAAACCATAAAATTAATTAAAAACGTAAATAATTACAAAGAACTTAAGGAAGTCAATAGAAATGTATAAAAATAAAAACAATTTAATTAATTGGGATCTTGGCCTACTGAACAATTCATTATTAAACTTGTGTAAAAACTGGCAAAATGTGATCATATTATTCAGTGATGACGTGACTAGTAGATAAGGTCACTAGGAATATATAAGGGAGTTTTTTCTAGTCGAGATTTCAGTGTGTGTTTAGAGTTGATTGTACGGTAACATTGTTTAAACAATGTTTCAAACATTTCGGAAACAATTGTTTCCGAAATACGTATACACGATTTTTCAGTATTTTTTTGTGCCTTTTTGAGTTTAATGTTTTTTAGTTTTTAAATTAATAATATTTTTAATATAGTTTTAATTTTATTTAATTAATTAGCCACAAGTGATCTTTTTTTATATATTATTTAAAGTTTTGAAAATACTACATAAGTTATTTTGTTTGCTTAGTTTTATCAAAATGTGATTTGTCAATCACATAGCAAGGGTCTTCGTTATTATTAGGTGAATCTAAACTTTTTACCGTTTTTTTATTAAATATTATGTTAGCTTTTTCAACCTTGACAAATTGACACAAAATTTATATTTAATGCTTTCATTTATAGACTATATAAGGTAAATTAACTAAGAAAATTTTTTTTTTTAATTTTAAACCCTGTGTGTTTTTGAAGCTATGTATGTTTGTGTTTCTGTATTTCATAACACTAACTCAAATATTATTGATATATAAACAGAAAAGTGTGTCTTCTAGCTCCAGTTTCTTTTACTAAGGAAAATTAAACATGGATTTTCATAGTTCGCATGTTTATAATTATTGATTATAAGAATAACCAAAAAATATTATTTTTCTTATAGTCGTTACAATTGTTGTAATAATTTAATTTTAAGATGAATATCATGAATTTGAAAATATCTTATTTGAATTATTTTTTACAGCTTTGCAAACATGCAAAATTGTAAGTGGATATAAATTATCTTCAGCTAAATCATGCAGATATTATTGAATTTTATACTTTGGTAGAATATTATTTTGAAAACCTTTAGGAATATTTTTTTGAATCGTTATATCAAATCAAAAAATTATTTTACATTTTGTGTATTGTATAAAATATATCACTCATCCGCAAAAAATCTAATTTAAAGCCAAAAATTTTTAAATACTCATATTTTGTATTGTAATTTTTTTTTTTTTGTTCGCAAAATGTTTCTAATAACTAGAAATAATTTATAGCATAATTATTATGTTATATATTACAATAAATCCCAATACTTATTACATTAAAAATTAATTATAATATAATTATTCTTATATAGACTCTTACAAAATCCTCTAGTATTCGAGACGATATAAATTACATGATTTAGATTTATTTATATATTTTTTAGGTTTTAAGTGTTTCCGCAATATTCAGAAAAGCATTCTGCTCAAGTATTGAACATGTTGAATTTAAACTTAAAATGATGTTTAAAGAGCATCGTTTTAATTATAAAATTACAAATAATCAATAAATATTCAGAATTTTTCATATAAAATGATAATTTATTAAAAAATTACATTTATAATTATATTTTCATATTATTCGTATAGACCATCAACATTGAGAGCTTAGTATATTATATAGACGAACACACAAAAAAAAAACATATATGTGATATAGTTGTTTCTGATGTGGTTAAATCTATACTTTAGGGAATAAATTAATTTACAAAAATAAATAATAATTAGTAGTATACTTTAGTGTGTATATAATATATCCCCATTAAAAAAAATTAAATATTCTAAAATTGAATAATATTTAAAAAATATTGGCAACTATTTTCATTTATAATTTTATTTTCACATCAGCATAAAAAAATACATAGCAACTAAATTGTATACCACTGAGCTAATGTCATTTTTGTTTTATGGAAGATGTATATAATTATTTTTTAGTCATCTTTGACATTTGATTTTTAAGAATTCTTTATACATTTAATGACATAAAGTAGTGTTTAGAAGTTTTTATAATTTAAAAAGCCGACAAATTTTTCTATTGTAAATAAGAAGACAATAAATCAGTTAAAACAGAAAAATGTATTTTTTGCATAAAGTTCAATTATATTTATTACCTTCGAAACTACGCTTAGCTATTCTGAACATTTTATAAAGTTACAGGGCTAAAATTTAGAAAAAAATTCTATGTCTTTCGTTTGTTAATATAATAACGTTATTTAATAATGGGATTTTTATAAAATGACATAACAATATTAATTAAGTTTTGCGTTTTATGATTTTTACTATTCACAGGTACGTAGTTTTTAATGTCAATTATGACTGTCGACAGATAGGCTTTCTGTTTTGTCAGTTGATGTATTTATAAATGTTAACTCAATACATTGTGGCCAATATCAAACTACTAGACTCTAAGCAAATATGTTGATAAAGTCATAATTGACAATAAACTCTGCATATTTACGAGTAATGACAGAAAACTCAGAATAAGAAATTTCACATAATATTTTTTCTTCTTTTTATGAAAATTGTACATAACTCGTTAACATTTACACAAGTCGTTATAGGAGCAAATACAATTTTGAACTAAAAATTGGACTATTTAAATTCCAAAATATTTCTCCCACTTCGCAACAAATAATGTACCTAACCTTATTTTTATCTATTTACAAGTAAACAATAATATTATACATACATTCATTTTTTTTCAAGAACTATATTATTTAAACTATAATTGTTAAAACAAAAACATGTTACTATGGTTAAAGTGCAATAAAAATTTTCACACACGTATTGCAGAACAAAATTTTATAAAAACAGTAATTATTTTTATTATATAAGATTATATAATATATAATATATTTATATTAAAAATATTTGTATATACTATAATATAATGATTTACTCAATATTTATTTAATATATATTAGTAGAATGGACAAATCTGCTTGGGGGAACTTCCCTAAGGGCGCTAAGAAATTGGTTGATTATTCTAAAAGCAAAATTAACCTATTTTTCTAACATTATTCCTAATTAGTTGTTGATTATAAGTATAATTTATGAATAAATATCTATTAAAGCAATTCAACGTAGTATGAAATTGATATTTAATAATTTAGTATTGTAATTTTTTGGAGAATTTATAAAAAATTATAAAGTAGTAATTACTTTTATGTCAAACGTGTATAAAAATTGAAGGGCTTAATACAGAACATTTTAGATAAAAATTTTTTGATAATTATGAATAAATTGTTTGCAAAAAATTGTCATCAGAGTAAAAAAGATACTTTTATAATTCAATTTTTCGTGCCGATTTCGAATCAGCAATTATATGTTTCCATCACCAATAATTTTTGATATTAATACTAATTAGTTAAAAACTATAGGTATAGCTATAAGAAAAATAGATCTGAATATTTAAATGTATCATCTATTTAAATACCAAGAATTACATAGAAATTATTAATATTTCTTTTTGAACGATTTATTACGATAAAAAATTATTTTTTAAATAACACAAAAAAATATTTTTAAATTATTGCACATTTTGATTTTTAATATAATAAAAATAATCAGTGCAAAATATCATTTTTAGCCTATTTTTTGGTATTTTAAAGTTGATTTTTTTAAATTTTATAATAAAAAAAAGTTTAATTTGTTACTATAACTTAAAGCTCAAATTCAAGTTTGAAATTTATCAAAATGATAGGCAAATACCTTATGTATCTATATAAAAAAAAAATTATAACGAATTAATTCGAATTATATCCAAAAATTACAAATTTAAAAATTGCTAAATTTCGATCTTTTCAATCTTTTTTACTTAAAACTGCCATAACTTTTTTAAAAATGATTAAATCAATATAATTTTTTTATATATAGATACGTGAAGTACTTCCTATAATTTTGTATATTTTTTTCATAAATTTAACCTTTTACCAGCCCACAAGGTGGGATTCAAAATAACAACTTTTTCAACTTAACTTTTGAAAGTGTTCCGGAAGGACTGACACTTATATATATATCTTAAATTAAAGCTAATGTAATATACATTATAATGAAAAAAAAAAAAATGTTGGACTTTATTTTGTTTTCGTGGTGAAAATGGCTATCGAATGCTATTTTTGTGTTAAAATTCTCGATTTTATATTTTACATTTTTAACTTTAAAATGTTATAACTTATTGAAAAGTGTATTGATCAATACAACTTTTTCATGAGAAGTAGTATTTATATACTTCTTTCATTCGAAATACCTTTTTTTTAAATCGGACCATTTCCCTTAATACAGAGGGGGTTCAAAACATAAAAATGCGTATAGAAAGTAGAACTTTTTCAACTTAATTTTTGAAAGTGTTCCGGAAATACTGATACTTTTATATATATCTTAAATTATAGCTTATGTAATATATTTTAATATAAAAAAAAAAAAAACGGTAGCACAGTGGGGTCGAGGCACAGTGTGGACGAGGCATAGATGGGACAAGTATAGATGATATCTGACAGTGATTAAAATCACTATCATAAGAAACGCTTCGATGCAAATCTGTAGATAGTGTTTCCTTTAGAGAAATTGGTGAAATATTTTAAAAGCAACATGAACTCTTATTTCTTTAATTATATCCTGATTAGTAGTTCTTTGATTTTAAAATATAATATATGAATAAATACTAATTATAGTTTTTAAATTTAGTATGAAATTGTGAGGCCAGCTATGATGTATGGTTCATAGTGTTGGGCGGTTGATAAGAAAGTAGAGCAGAGAATAAGTGTAGCAGAGATGAGAATGCTTAGTTGGATGAGTGGAGTGACTAGAGAAGATAGGATAAGGAACGAGCATATAAGAGGAAGTATAGGTGTTGCGTCAATCGTGGATAAGATGACAGAAAATAGACTTAGATTGTTTAGTCATGGTATGAGGAAAGAAGAATCGAAAGCTGTAAGAACAGTTATAGAAATGAATGTTGAAGGAAGAAGAGATAGAGGAAGACCAAAAAAGAGATGGAGGGATGCTATTGAATGCGATTTGAGGACAGCTGATGTGAGCGTAGAAGATGTGGGAGATCGTGTCAAGTGGAAGCTTAGGATAAGGGTGGCCGACCCCAAGTAGTTGGGATTAAGGCAAAGAAAAAGAAAAATATTACCAGAAATTCCGGTGGCAATTGACATAATATGATTGTAGTTTCGGAATGTACAATTTAGCGTTTAGTTGGGTTTAAATAATATAGCGTCAAATCAATTACCTACTCTATCGCTTGTATATTAATATACACTACACTTTTTGTGTTAAAATTCTGGGTTTTGTATTTTATTTTATTTTAAAATACCTGACAAGGGGAGTATAGATTTTCATAAATATTATATAACTTAAAATTAATATATCCTAGAAAGTTAAACTTATTTAAATTTGTTTGCTTCTTTAAAGTCGAGAAAAATAACTTTGAAATTTGAACTAGCTTAAATACCTAATTTTTTCAATTGTCGGTAACAAAGTACGATTGCCGAGTTGGTAAAACATGTGTTTTACGCGCTTGGGGTACGAGGTTCCAACCCACGTATGACAATAAATTTTTTGCTTTTTTTCTTAATTCTTTTTAAGTTTAAGTATAAGATACAAGATATAAATATTTATCTATTGTTTGGTATATTTTTTTTGAAAATCTCACCCTTTACCTGCTCACAGGGAGAGATTCAAAATGATAAAATTTTCAACTTAACTTTTGAAAGTGTTGTATGGAAATACTGATATTTTTATATATTTTTTAAATTAAAGCGTATGAAATATAGTTAAATAAAAAAATAAAAAAACCCAGCACAGGGGGGTCGCGGCACAGTGGTGACGTGGCATAGTTGGATCAAGTATAATGATATCTGACAGTGATTAAAATCACTATCAAAAA